TTTATTCATTTATTCATTTATTTATTTATTTTTGTGGACAGTTTAACCCTTCCTCAAAGCGAGCCGCAGCTAACCACCTCCCGAAGTCTGTGGCTGCGGTATGAAACTACTGAGATTTAGCTTCTCAGATGCCACTTTGCACCTGCGTTGTACCTGTGCTTACAGGAAATGCCGGTAAAAGAGGGTGGGAGGTACGCGCAACATTTCCAGTAAGCAAACGTGAGCCCTGGGTTCCCGCAGCCGCCGGAGAACTGCTCGATTGAACCAGGGGATTGCAGGCTCTTGCCCAACAACCTGTGGTTCTTGTTTCTGTCTAATTCCTCATACCCGTTCCTCTTTTTGCCGTTTCATTTTAAGGCAAAGCATACCCTTTCACTGGGGTAAAGGGCTGTTCCGCCATTCATCATTGCATCCTAGTCACTAGTCTTCTTTTGCCGAAGAAAGGAATACTGTTGCCACAGGAAGCAGAAGTTATGAATCACCGAGGAGAGCTGCTCTGGGAGGTCACAAAATAAAGCCCCAGTTCTCAGGAGCGTGCTTCACAAATATGGATCACGCTACGTGACTTACACACTTGCCAGGCAAAGTCTCTCAAGTTTCCCATTAAGGTAGGTGGTAGCAGAACAAATGTTTGTATCACTAAATAGTGAGTTTATTTTGAAGGCGTTTCAGTGAGAGTTTTAAGTATCAGGGCATGTGGGTAGTTCTGGCATCTTTGAGGTTAGTTTAGTGTTTAGATGTCTGTATTGAAAATGAAATCTAGAGTGGCCCTAAGGATTTCCCTCTGCTTTTCAGTGGAGCTTGCGGAAGAGTAAGGGCAGTGTTTCAGAGGAATCATGGTAGATGAAGCTCAGTAGCTGGAGGTTGGTTTTCAACATGATGGATGGTAATTTTGACTGTAAAGGGAATCTAACTCAGTTTTACAAATTCTGTACAAGGCCATGCATGTTTTACAACTGCAAGACAGTATTAATCACTATTGTAATATAAAGTTATTACTTCAGGATGAAATTAACATTATAGGTGTGTAAATGTGCGTGTCTGCTGGGATAGAACAGTGTAGCAATTTCCTAAGTTCCTAAATTACTTTATTGAATTTAGCACTTACATTTTATAATTTTCTTTCTTTTTCACTTTTCAGTAATTAATTTCACCTGTATTTTCTCACTATGGTAATATCGGAAATGCTTTTGGAATAAATGAGCAATAGAGATTGAACACTTCTACTCATCTCAGATTCCACTGAAGTTTGTTATACCTCTAAGTTGAGTGTCATCTTCTTCCTCATGGGTTTCAGAAAAGATACTTGCCTTTTAATAAATAGGTAAATATAAAGAAAAGATGGAAGGAAACAACTACATTTGACTACTTTCAACAAAACACAGAAGTATACATAACATTTGAGGAATATATTCATCTTCTTCCAGTGATTGCATTGGTAAATGAGTGGTAAATATGAGGGCTAATAGCATGCAATTAATGGTAATATGTTTATTTTGCTGTTTACCATACGCTTTATCTATCTTTACAGTATGTAGGCAGAACTGGAGAACTCAAACTGCCAGTGGCTAGCTTGTACTTTCACTTAGTTGAAGAGAGACTCTTGAATAAGTCATTATACTAATTTACAGCAGTTCTTACATGTTAACCAAACGTACGTCTGGTTCTGCATTCAGTAGAGTGATAGGTAGGTTATGTTCAAGCACTTCAACTGTTACATTCTCAAACAGGAATGAATGTTTGGTAGAAGTGAGGTCTTACCTTAGGGTTTTATCTCATCCTTATGGTGGATAGCAAAATCTTTCTAGCTAAGGGCAGACAATGGTGAAATTTGTATGTAACAACATTATAAAGTGTCATTTGGAAACCAGATGTGAATACTCTCGTCTGTGTTGCCAGAAATGGAGAAAAAATAATAGAATCATAGAGTAAGGCTCAATGACATAACAGCAGAGAACAGGAATTGTCCATATTCTGTCACTTACTACCTGTCCTGCCTTTCTCTTCCTTTTTTAGGTGGCCTCTTTTCACTTGAAGCTGAGAGATTAATGTACAGTCTAAGCTTTAAATTAAAAAGTATATTTTAAAATTATTTCCTCTCCTTCCTGAGTCATTGAAATGTTAAATAATTAATGTGTTATGGTATGCTAACCCAGAAAGGTAGGTTGTAGTGTGGCAGTTCTGTATTTAGGTCCCAGCTAAGATGGAATTTCTGACCAACATTATACAGAAATAAAGAGAGACTGGTTTATGTCTTTGCCAAGTGTTTGGCATTCGGTACCGAATTCGCTGCTCTGTTTTAATTAAAAAAAAAAAAAAAGAAAAAAGACCTCACCCACTGTTTCCATGACCACTATTTAACCCAATCACAACACTGCTGGAGCAGGAGAGAGAGATTATTTTTCCACTGTCATTAAATGGAAATTAAAATAAGACAAACATTACTTTTATAAACCAGCCTTGATAAGAACTTAACAACTAAATTGGTATAGCTAAATGGAAAAAAAAAAAATCAGAATAATGCATATAGACTTAGATATTTATTAAGTTCAGAGAGGAAGATGTGTGAATTTCAGTGTAAAACTTACTCAAAAGAAGTACTTAGTTTCATATTAATTTGATGAAGACAGAAACTTGGTAAAAAGATTAATTTTTTTCACTGCTTAATCTCTTGCAAAGCATGAAAACACAGCATTCAATAATAACTAAATAATGGGGAAATTTCAGTACTGTAGTATGTGGGAAATACATCTGGAGGAAAGCAAATGCCATTTCATAAACTGTCAGTAGATGGCACAAACATTTATATAAAAACTCTGGGCGTTCCTAAGTCTTGTTACACAGTAGGATAGAGTTACAGGAAGTTTCGGTTTTGTCTTTTCGCGAGTACATTTTCTGCTTTTTCAGAAAGCAGGGATTTCTGGTGAGAAACGTTTCATTTTATTGGTTTTATGTGGTGGCTAGTTAGCTAAAACTGTTTCTATTCTGCATCTTATTTGAAAACAGCCCATGTTTTCCATAGAGGGTAATTAGCAAGTGTATGATGTACTTTCAAGTGTATGGGCAAGAAATTCAAGTTACTTATATTCAATAAATTTATCCAAAGAAGCTGGCCAAGTATCAGTCTCTTTGTATTAGCACTGTACCCGTAGTTAAGGGGGTCACAGGGTTTTAATGGAAATGGTTTTTCTGCATTTCAGGAATGGGTCTAGCTTGGTGATGTGTTTCATCCATCTGAAAGATGTATTTTTAACATTTGAGTTTTGCATTATGCTGATAACTTGCAAAGCACATGCCTTAATATTGAACCATCATAGCCCAGTACATTCTGTAAATTTCTTATATGAAAGTTCAGTCAGTTTATACCACGATTATATTGGAAAATCTCTTAAAACCTCAATTTTTATCTCTTTAAACCTCAATTTTTATCTCTTTAAACAACAGGACAATTTCTCACTGTGATTTTGGTTTGCTTACTCTAATGTTTTACTTCTCTGCTTGTATATTGACAATGCTCTTTTGTCAAGTAGGAAGACTTGAGGATACTTCTGAATTAAAAGGGATATGACTAAAAAGAATAATTTCTTTAGTGTTAGCCCCTAAATCACGGGTCATGTGTTGTAACGGTTGTTAATTTTGTTGCTTCATAGCATATTCTAGAGAAAGTTTGAAGGTACTTGTAAATAATTTGACTGAATGCCAGGATGTAGGAATAAGGAAAAAAAAATAAGCACATGTGGAAGGATCATATCCTTCTTTCACCTAGTCCCTGGATATTGCTGAAATTTTGTCCTAAGAAGAAATAATGATTTGAAAGTAGATTTTTTTTTTCTGATTTCTCTTGAAGCTACATATTTTGTTTTATTATATACACATTAGTAGTGTTGCCCAAATGATCAGAAGAACAGGGTGAAGGATGCTGATTATCTGTTGTTCTCTGCTCATGCCCAAATGCCTTTTGAGGGCATATCATTTTCCCAAGTTAAAATCTGGAAAAAGGCTAGAGAAGTTTTTCCATATTGCCCCACTATTTCTAGATACTTTCCAAGCCCAGTGTCATGCATTCTTTACAAGAGAAGAAATCAGTGGACTGATTTGTGTTGCACTGCTGAGATTTCATAATATAGGTTGTGTTAGATCAAGGAGAATTGTACGTTTTAGACACAGTAGTGTAATTCTAAGAAAGGTTGTGGAATGGTTAATGGTGCAGAGGATGTAGTCCTCAAGGTTGTGGCTTTAGTCCAAGGAGTGACAGCTATTACTATCTCATTGTAGAATCTCTAGAAATCATTGTAGAGTCACTAGAAACAATTTAGCCATTTCGATATCAAGGGAAACTTGAAAGCCAATGCGTCATCAGTAAGCACTATGGAAAGCTTCAGACAACAACTGTGATTTCAAAGTAATAGGATGAAGAAGGGAAGAATGTTCCAAGGAAACACAAAGATTTCAGAAATCTGGAAACCAACTTTAAATCAGGATTTACACGTATAAAAATGTTAGCCAAGTGGTTACCAGTTCCTCTTTCAGAAAGGCAGTCTAATGGGTTTATGGCAATATCTAAAAGGCGATTTAAGGCGGTTCTCACAATCGCTGGCTTGAACAAAGGGAGGCTGGCTACCCTGAACTGCTACATCCAGAAAGGAGAAGTGTCCTCCATTATGGAAAACCAAAGCAAAGCCGCGGTTATGATTTTTCTCTAAATTGTGTTTAAATAAGCCTCTCTTTCACAACAGAGGCATTTGAGGTCAGTGTCCTTAGATCAGGACTAGATTTTGTGTACAGAGGTCCTACAACTGGTATTTTTTTGTGCAGCATGCAAATATTTTCAGTGTGTTTGGTGTCCTCTGTTTACACCTAACAAATCAAACATGGGGACACCCCACTTTCAGAATCTAAATTCAGGAGATGTTCAAGCCCAGACAAGAAGTGAATTCTTCTCTGGACTTTCACATAGCATAAATACAGAACATCCTACTCTCCACCTCAGTTAAAATAAGCACTAATGACCGATCTCAGCTACCTAAAGACATTCAGAATTTGATTTACTCTCTTGAACCTCCAGCCTGTGTTTCAGTCCAGGTTTTATAGTCACAAGTCCATTTAAAAATGAGTCTAGTTCATATCTTCAAGAGAGAATCTGAGGAGAGGATGATCATAGTGGCCTCAAATAACTGTACTTTCTGATCAAAGTGTATGATACAGCTGTGGGAAGCCTTCATAATACATCGAATCACTGCAGTAATTCTGTAAGAAGTAAGCAGCAAATTTTAGTGACCTATGAAATCAGAGATGTTTTGTAAGAAACAGACTCATTATATATTAAATACAGCATACTTGCCAAGTAGAAATTTCATTGGTGTTCTCTTAATAAAGAATACCTCTTGCTTTTTGGGTCAAAGGGAGGGATGAGAAATTGGAACCTTAAAAAAATCGATCTGAATGATGGCTCCTACATAGCCTCTTAATGATACAATCTCTTTTTTGTTTTTATCTCTTTGTTTTGCTGCAGGATTAGAACAAAGATGGACAGATAAGAAAATAATTGAGCATCTCCAAGGAACCAGAAACCAGTATGACAGAAAATATAAGACCTTTCAGAAACTTTCTTCTTTACAAGTTTCTGTTTGCATTGGCTTTTTGGAACCATGTTAGCCTGTCTGTGGAAAATGAACTCCTTACATCTATTTCTAATGATTTTCCATTAGATGGTTCTGACAAAAAAATTGAGAGACTGCCACTCCTGTATACAAGTAGTCATCAGTCCAAAGCTAATCTTGACTGGGTTGTGATACAAAATACTACAGAAAGCCTGTCATTGGCAGAAATCACAAATAACAATGTACAAAAATTAGTAGCTTTATTATCTAATTTCAGACCGGGCGCCAGGTTATATAATTTGACACTGACAAATGTGTCAGTGGACTGGAATGCTCTTATGGAAATTTTTCAGACTGTGTGGCATTCATCCATTATGTACTTCAATATTGACAATGTAACACAATTGTCAGAAGTTGAAAGATACGATTTTAACTATTCATATTCCTCTATGAAAGCATTCACAATTAAGAAAGTTTTAATCACGGATCTGTACTTCACACAGGATGACCTATACCAAATATTTGCAAACATGAATATTACAGCCTTGACAGTAGTTGAATCGGAGATGATACATATGCTGTGTCCTTCATCTGACAGTACTTTCAGATATTTAAATTTTTTAAAGAATGATTTAACAGATCTTCTTTTTCAAAATTGCGACAAATTGATTCACCTGGAGACATTAATCTTGCAGAAGAATAAATTTGAGAGCCTTCCCAAGGTAAGC